TGGGTTTGATTCCCCACTCCTCCACTTGCAGCTGCTGGTGTGACCTTGGGTCAGTCACAAGTTCTCTTGGAGCTGTTCTCTCAAAAGCAGTCCTCAAAGAGCTCTCTCAGCCCCACCTACCTCACAGGGTGTCTGTTGTGGGGAGGGGAAGGGAAAGGAGAGTATAAGCCACTCTGAGACTCCTCCAGGTAGTGAAGGGCGGGGTATAAATCCAGTCTCTCTCTCTCTGTTCTTCTCTCTGGGGCAGCAGTCAGGCCTTGTTTTAGATCAGACCCTGTTAGGAAGTAAAGGGAACTAGAATCGCCATTATGGTTTGTTTGCTCAAAAATCCAGGTTGATGACCAGTGTTCCCTCTCAGCTGAGTTAGTGCGAGCTAGCTCACAGTTTTTTTTAGCCTCCGACTCACACGTATTTGCCGTAGCCCAGGAAGGAGGGCTCCAGAGGAAACTAATTTGTGCAGCAGCCCAATAGCTCGCTCACAACTTTAACGCCAGGAGCTCACCAAGTGCGCAAAGCGGAAGCTAGGGGCCAGTCGTCGGTCTTTCCAGCGGCAGATGACACGGGAGGTTTTCTGTCTTGTTCTGCAGTCCACGTTCCCCCTGCCTGGTTAATGCCAGGAGCTCACCAAGTAGTTTTGCTCACAAGACTCCACAGCTTAGCGGGAACTTTGTCACAGGCAGCGTTCCCTCTAAGCTGAGTTGGTGTGAGCTAGCTCGCAGTTTTGTAGCCTCTGGCTAACCCATTTTTTGTCTTAGCTCAGGAAAGATGGCTCCAGAGCAAACTAGTGGATTCAGCAGCCACATCGCTCGTTCAGAACTTTAATGCCAGCAGCTCACAAAGGAGAATCTTTGCTCACAAGACTCCAGAGCTTAGAGGGAGCATTGGTGGTTTTTTTTAAGTGTTTATTTATCAAGTTTTACAAATATACTACCAAATATATATTATACAGCCTATATTACAAAAAGAGTCACTTACTACTCTTTTTTAATCCATCCCCGTATTAAACTCTTTGCCATCTTTTCTGGAAAATGGTATCCTCTTTTCCTTGAAGTAACGTCTTGAATTTGTCCATCTCAGCCGCCACGAACGATTTCTGGGGAGGCCAAAAGAGGGAGCATTGTTGATGCCCCATCTTGCCAGCAAGCCGTTCAGCCCCTCAGCCGTCCGGCCTGCCTGCCCCTCTCTTCTTCCACTGGGGGGGGGGGGCACAGCTGCCCATAACTCAGTCCCTAAGACTCTGCCTGAACCCTCTGCCTGACTTTTTCCCGGGCGCTTTGAGGGGGAGCCCAGCCTCGCACCGGGAGGCCTGCAGCGGCACTGATCGGTCTCTTCTCCCTTATACCTTTGCAGATGACTCTTCTACGAAAGTGGACGCTAAAGATGCTTACGAAACAGAGGCCAGCACTATGTGAGTACCTGAAATGCTGAAGGGAGATCGGGGGGCCAGTTCACACCTCTCTCCCGTTGATGTCGGACTCCAGCCCAGAAGATCTGCACTGGGCGTTGCAAGCCGTGGCTGGTTGGCTCCGACTGAGTCGGCTGAGGCTAAACCCGGCAAAGACGGAGGTCCTGGGTTTGAGTCGATGTGGTCTGGGGTTGGGGCTCCTGCTCCCAACCTTCGAGGGGGCGCCTTTGGTGCCAGCGTCGGAGGCTAGGAGTTTGGGGGTGCTCCTGGACTCCACATTATCCATGGAGGCCCAGGTAGGAGCCACTGCCAGGGCGGCCTTCTACCATCTTTGGCTGGCTCGGCAGTTGGTTCCCTTTCTCGACCGTGATGACCTAGCCACAGTGATCCATGCGACGGTCACCTCGAGGCTAGACCATTGTAACGCTCTCTACATGGGGCTGCCTTTGTCACAAATCCGGAAGCTGCAGCTGGTGTAGAATGCTGCAGCCAGGCTGTTGATGGGCCGTCCTAGGGGGGCACACATCCGGCCTGTGCTGAAAGCGCTGCACTGGCTGCCGATAGCATACCGGATTCGCTTCAAAGTGCTGCTTCTTACCTTTAAAGCCCTAGATGGCCGGGGTCCGACATACCTACGGGACCGCCTCTCCCCATATGTTCCCCCAAGAGCACTACGGTCCGGGACCAAACATCTCCTGGTGGTTCCAGGTCCCAAAGAGGCCAGACTAGCGGCGACTAGGGCTAGGGCTTTTTCGGTGGCGGCTCCTTCCTCCTCCTCCTCCTCCTCCTCCTCTTCTTCCTCTTCTTCCTCTTCTTCCTCTTCCTCCTCCTCTTCTTCCTCCTCCTCCTCCTCTTCCTCCTCTTCTTCCTCTTCCTCTTCTTCTTCTTCTTCCTCTTCTTCTTCCCGGTTCTTGCAGTGGTTGCACGTTTGAGCCGGCAAAAGGCTGCGCCCCAGACCCACCCAATGCATGCCAATCCCCAGCTTTCGATGTCCCAGAACTGAAAAGAAAATCTCTGCGGCTCCAGGGTTGAGCCCCAGCGGCTGCCCTGGGTTCGGTCAGAGCGATGCCAGGATCTCTCGTATGTTTCCAGCTCTTTCCCAGAGTCCCTGGAGACCAGCGGCAACTCCCCCTCTTCCTTCGCGACGCAGCCGTCTCCGCACACCAAGACAGCCAGCGAAAGTGAGCTGAGCACCACGGCGACGGAGCTGCTTCAGGACTACATGATGACGGTAGGGGAGACGAGAAGACCCCCCCCTCCCTCCCAGACTAGAGCCCCCCTCCACTTCGCAGTAGAACCTTTCCAGATAGGACGCCCGGCAGGATGCTGGAGCCACTCTGTGGCCTTGGCTGTGAGGTGTCACTCCTCTCCTGTGGCCTCTCGGGCCAGCAGAGCGCAGCAGGGACCAGTGCTGCGTTTCGCTTCATGCTTATGACCATAAGAGCGTAACAGAAGCCAATGTTCGATCAGGCCAATGGCCCATCCAGTCCAACACTCTGCGTCACACAGTGACCAGAAATACCAGGGGCCATCAGGAGGTCCATCAGCGGGGCCAGGACACTAGAAGCCCTCCCACTGTTGCCCCCACCCCCCAAGCACCAAGAATACAGAGCATCCCTTGCCCCAGACCGAGAGTTTTTATCTATACCTTGTGGCTAAGAGCCACTGATGGACCTCTGCTCCAGATGTTTATCCATAAGAACATAAGAGAAGCCAGTGTTGGATCAGGCCAATGGCCCATCCAGTCCAACACACTGTCACACAGTGGCCAAAAATACCAAGGGCCATCAGGAGGTCCAGCAGTGGGGCCAGGACACTAGGAGCCCCCCCAGCACCAAGAATACAGAGCATCCCTTGCCCCAGACGGAGAGTTCCCATCT